CTTCGCCTGTGAGCATGGGCCTGATGAGCAGCTGCAAGCTCACCTGGGAGGGGACCCTTCCTTTCCCTGATACTGCTGCAAGCTCTTCCCCAAAGGCAGCTGGTACCCTAGACGTGCCGGTCTGGAACAGATTCATTTCTGCAACTGGGTGAAGAATCCCGAGTCTTTGTGGCAGATGCCATTTCCTCAGTCCCTCAAGTGTGGCAGGTCCTCCGCCGACCACCGTCCAACATGGATGTGGCTGGCAAGTTGATTTGCCACAACTGATGAATTCCTGTCTTGCTGGATATTCTCTGCCAAGGGAGACCGTGTCCTTGATTTCTTCCACTTCTCAGATGTTCATTGTCTGCTCCCAGAACACCCGTAGGCAGCACCTAGAGTACTGGGCTGCAGGTAGACATTCAGCTGGTGTAAACAGAGAAGGGCGGCTGACAGACTCAGATGTAGCTCATTAGCAATAATACCCCAAACCTGCAGCAGAGCTGGTCTCCCCACCATGCTGCCACCCCAACAGAAGCACTGGCACCACCTACCCTTCTGCAAAAGCTGACTGCACTGCCCGACCCTATTGCCACTGGAGAATCCTTGAGGTCCTTGCCTCCTGATGTGACCGACTTGCGATTCAGAATCCAGAATGAGCAGGCCCTAGTGGTGGGCTCAAAGCCACATGTCTGATGTTGGAAAAGTAAAGAGCTAGTCCAGATTCATCACTTAGAGCGAGAGGTCTTCCCTGGCTCCTGATGAGGCTCTGCTGGGAAGACTGGGCCCAGGAAGGAGGCTCACAGGCTGAGAGCGTGCTCCGGCGGCGAGGCTGAGGCCTGGGCCCTCTGGGTCCCCCACCTCCCTCCCTACCTTGGTATCTCTTCTAGAGTCTGTTTTCCTAATGACTTTAATCAGGAGGCTCTTCCAACCTTCTGGATGGTCATCAGTTTTCAGTCCATTCCAAATAGGGCAAACAGCCCCGAACGTTCCTCTCCTTTTCTCCACTTCAGCAATCGTACCATCAGCTGGCTGGAAAGCCGATCAGAGCCCTTTCATCATGCACCTGGCTTGCACCAGCACCAGCCCCTCTTACCCCTGAGCTACAGCATCGCCTTCCTTCAAGTAGCTTGGGTTGTGTGGGGACGTTGAATCCAAGATGCTGGAAGGGGACCAGAGAGGTGAACACCTCTGATGATGGGGCTCCAGAAGTAGTCTGGGAGGATTAGTGAATTTATTGGACTACAAATGCTGAATTGAGTAGTACTTCTTTTTAATAAATCATAAATAATGTTCTTAAAATCATAGATTTAGGGGTGGAGTAAATACGTCTCATAATGTTACTGATCATGGAAACCTTAAATTGTCTATGTTCTTTTAGATCTCAGAATTGTCTTCCATGCAATTTATGCCTATAAATTTTGCCAAAAATCAGCTCATTCTATACACTCAGACCAGGGGATTTCGGTGTGGGCGCTGTGGCCTGGGCTCCAAGATGCCCCAGAATTGGGTAAGCTCCGGAGCCTCATCTGCTCAGGAGGCGCAGGAGGGGCCGTGGCACCCTCTAGACGCACCATCCCACTCCGTCTCCTGCTGTGCCCAGGATCTTCCTCCGCGCCCTGTTGGCACTGCGGTCTTTCCTGCCCCCACTAGTGACTGCAGCGCTGGGACCACGCTGTGACTCCCGAGGCCAATGCCTTGTGGTGAAAACAGGCCGCCTCTGAGTGACTGCTTGGCACTGAATAGGGTGGCACTTATTCTATACACCTGTGTGTCTGACCCTCGAGGTGTGTGGGACAGTGGGAAGGGCTGAGTCTGAGCCAGGGTTTGCCCAGTACACATCTGATGTAGCTCCTTCTGGATTCCATGTTTTGACCATTGGCTGCCCAGCTGAGGTGAGGCCCCATGGGTCACTGCTGGCCACCTGTCTAAGAGTCCCCGCAGGCGTCACAGCCCTCCATCACTCACGCACACGTAATTCTGAGCAACATCCCACAGATCATGAGTTTTCAATGACAAAACCCAGACAGGTCCTCATCATCCTCGATGTGGAGTTACTAATGTGTCCCTGTGTCGTGGGTGAACTGTGGCATCTGAGAACCTTGGGGGCTCCTTCCATACGGCTCATGCTGGGACCTCCTGTGTGTCTGGAGAACAGGCAGGGGCCTGCACTCCCTGCCTGCAGGTCACCTGTCATAGTGGAGCAATGGGACACCGTGCCACAGAGGGGGGGGACAGCCTGGGGCCTAGCCTGTGCCCTTCAGAGTTCCAACCACAAATATCTGGCATTTATTATTATTTCCTGTCTTAGATTAGAAGTCACATCCATTGGAAGGGACTTGTACATTTGAATTTCTTTTCTCTTACAAATAAATAAATATGTAAATGAAATTAAAGGAGACAAGCTATGCTTTTTCTGACAAAGAAAGGATTTAATCTGTGCAATGAACTCCTAAGTTGAGTGCAGCAAGAAGTATACTTGTAACAATTTAAGGAAGAGTTTGATTGATATTTGATGCAGATTGTTCCATCACCTGGTTTAATTGCAAACTATAGGTCCTCATTCATCCTGCAGGGCTTTGCGGTACCCTGCAGCAGAGCAGCTGATTTTATTTTTTTAGAAATCGTAATTCTTCAAGTGCAGGTACAATGTAACCATACAACAGGCTGAAACGTGGCTCTGCGGGTGCTCTGTGGCTTCATGATTCTCCCTCTGTTCCTTTCTCTTCTGCCCTCTGAGTGCCCGGCTCCACTCTGACAGTCAGGCGGGGCGCTGGGAGGAACAGGGATGCCTCATGGAGGAGCCAGGCGAGGCTGCTGAGGTGCTGCCAGTGAGAGGCTGAAGGCAGGTGGGGTGTGGGGCCAGGGGAGAGGCGCCCTTTGTTGCCCTGGAGACCAGGGACACCTCACCCTGAGGGTACAACCTCAGAGGCCTGTGGAGCTGCGGAAGTCCCCCACGGCTTCAGGAGACCAGACCTGTTGAAGCACATTGCACACTCACACAGGCACACAAGTGTGCAGGGCCCTTATCTGACACTGTATTTCCATAGATATGCACAAGCGTGTGAGAAAGATACTTACGTGTATACAGCTCTGTGATTTTAAATATCATGGCTTAGTATTATTTAGAAATGTCCCTCTTAGTGGGAGACAAGCTTTGGGGAAACTAACAAGAAAGCTGAATCTAATTCTAACACGACCCAAGCAGACTCCTGGGGCCTGACAGGGTGACAATGTGCATTTGGGCTTTGAGAGTGTCCTTATGATTGTAGATTTTATTTTTGAAGCACATTTGGAGATTCCTTCAAGTACCCAGCTATGTTGAAGCCTGAGGCGGTGTGCAGGGCCCCTGTTTGACCTGGCCACTGGCACCTTCATGGGGATCTGATTGGCATACTTGTAGAGGAATTCTTTGTCCTTCCCAAGATGGAAGCACATCCCCATTGTTCTGCAGCTGCAGTCCTGCGGTCATTTCTGGAGTCCTCCTTACTCCACGGTGACCGTGCGACCCGGAGCACTCACTGGCGTGGCTGTAGTGCAAGAGCTGAGGAGCAGTGTCGTAGACACCGGAGAATACATGCTCCCATTTTTTTTCCCACCGACTATAAATGATTCCTATTCTTTGCTTCACAGAACATCCGATGTGGTGCCCAATCAGCTGAGAAAGCTGCGTGGACGTCATCAGTTCTGTGAGAGGGAGCGGGAGGCTGCAGCCGGTCGCTGTGAGCCGAGTGGAGTCTCCATTAGGGCAGCTCTATTGATTTCTGATTCACAGGGCAGCGGCGGGGCTGGAGGGCAGGCGGAGAAACCCATCTCAGAGGCAGAATCACAGAAGACAAAAACAAGCAGCTAGAGAGACTGTAGTTCCATGCAAAAATCATGCAACTGTCACCAAAAGGAGAGAATTTAGACAGCAAAATCAGAAAACGGTTTACAACAGAGTGAAAGATGAGAAAAAGAATGGGGATTTCTGACAAATTCTTGCTTCTCATTCTCAAGCCATTTTTCCATGAGAGTTAATAATGGTCTAATTTCCAGAATTCCTTAAAAATAAAAATTTGACATACATATTAAAAGTATAGTTGTTGATCTTAAAGCTATGCCTGGGTATTTTGAAGGAAGATGAAGACCTACTTTTAGTACATTTTCAATAAATGTTGTATCTGGGTGACCTTCATCCTCCCCCCTGACTCGGTGCTGTGTGGTACCTAGGACAGCGGTGCAGTCTGCTGCAAATGCCCGAGGTGGAAACGGGCTTCTCCCCAGCTGCCTTCCTGCACGTCCAGCTGTGATCCCCGGAAGCCAGCACCAGAGCCTTCTCAAGGTCTGTTGCCTGGCATTTGGCTAGGAAGGGTGGCATGGGGGTGCAGACCCGTAGTCCTGGTCTTCAGGCGACCTTCAGCCTGGGCTTACCACCCACCACTCTTCCTCCAAAGACAGAAGTTCAGTTTTGAAACAATGGTGTCAGGCAGTCTGCATGTGATCCCTGGGGAAGACGAACGGAGAAGTCCACCCCCTTCCCTGGCCACACACACAGGCACACACATGTACAGCACCATGCCAGTCTGCAGGGGAAAAGGGCGATACCTTTTTAAAAACAGGCGAGGCAGCAAGCCATTATTAGCAAGAGCTATATGGAGCATGCTTGCCAGACAGGCAGCAACACTGAGCTCCAGTCCCGCCCAGACGTGTGCCTTGCCATTTTCATTTTAATCAGCCTGCTCAGGACGGCTGCTGATTCATTTTGCAGGATGTCCCCCTGGGAGCCAAGGTGGAAGCCTCGGGCGGGCGAGCTGCTCTCACATCCAGGCAGTGCACCACATCAGAGGAGAGCGGGGAGGAGGCGGTGGAAGGAGAGGAGCCTTCCCCAAGCCCATTCCAAATTTCAATATGGCTAGTTAGAAGATCGCTCAGGAAACCCACTCCAGTGCAAAAAACATAATGAAAGAAAAAGAAAAGAAAGAAAGTCACATTGTCATTTCATTATCCAACCACCCCCTCCCCCTGCCACATACGCACTTCCACCGAGTGGTTGGAATTCTGGTCTTCTTCACGGTCACTGTAAAACACACACACCCACATGCACACAGACATACGTGTGTGTGTGTGTGTGTGTGTAATTTACCTGGTGACTAGCTGGGGTGGTGTACCTGATTTAGCTGGAGACTTTGATTTGTAGGACTGACAACCTTATTATGCAGTGAGCTTATTATTGATATTATTCTGCTCTCGGTTGCCATGGCCACCTTGTGAGAGACATTCAATTTTCTCTCTTCCATCATCATTATCTATGAGGCCATCTGTTGTGGAAAATGAATTCAGCCTCATTTGCATGACTGATAAGCAATTTTTTTTTTTTATCTATTTAACAGAAGGTCATATGCCGGGGATTTGGAGCTAGTGAAAAAAAAAAGTGCAGAGAAAGCATGGGAGAGGATGAGTGGGGCTGCGTGGGGGACGTGGAAGTGAAGCGGACCCCTCAGGCCTCCAGCCGTCCTGCTGCATTTGTCGTCCCTGCCCGGGCGACATCTTTTTTCCCTGAGCCACTGCACACTGAGCAGAGGGAGAAGCCTTCCCTGCGGTCTTCGAGGAGCCGCTGATTTTCCCCCGTGGTTGGTGGGTGTCTTTCGTTTTTTATTCCCTGGACTGTGGGTTATGATACAGTGTTCGCTGAAGACAAAGCAAGCTTGGCTGTCTCTGGGGGCACGCGTGTTCCCCCTGTCCTCCATCGTGGGGACAGGGCTTCCTCCTCTGTGCCCTGAACTGGCTGTCACTTGCGGGTGAGCCGTGTGGTCGTGTTGTGAGGTACGTGGTGCTCGTTAGGATAATTCTGGGGACGTGGTGGAGACTCCGTGTTCTGTCCTGCATGGGCTCGTGCTGCAACCCTATTGTTTTCTCCTGTTAAAGTAATTTTCTGTGCTGAGACTGGTAGCTCAAAGGTTCCTGAGCCGGAGGTCTGTGGTCCACAGGAGTCTGTGAAGCGAAACGGTGTTAGGTTGCTTGCCTTAACCATGATGCTGTTTATAAAACGAAAACAAAAACAAAAACCTCGCTGCATGCATAACACTGGATGGTGTGAGGCTCGCGAAGCAAGAACTTCCCAGACTTCATGGGAGTACTTTACATACAAATGAGCAGACGGTTTTACCCAAGTGCTGTTAAAGTCCTAGACATCCTTGATGTATTGCTGTATTTGTCTAATTATAAAAAGAAAGTTGATTTATATTCTTGAAATTGAGAATCTCAAATAAAGATTTTTAACAATATCCTCAATGTTTGAAGTTCATAATAACAAAACAGCATTTCACTTTAACAAAAATGTCTTTTAGTGCCACTCAAATAAATAAACTGAAAGTTCAGCTCCTTCAAGATAGATTGGACTAAAGCAATGAAAATAAATATTTAAATGTTCATATGAGAGTTAGCTATAGAAAACATAGAGCACATATTTTATTTATTTATTTATTTATTTATTTTAGAGCACATATTTTAAATTCAGCAGAAATTTAGTCATGACACATTCTTAAACTAAAATTATATAAACTGTAAACTAGTATGTTATTTATTAAATTGGGTGAAAGAGTTATCTAAGAGCTTTCTTGCTCCAGTATTTATATTTTTCACTGAACAAAATTAACATCACAGACAAAAGCAGCCCGATACCACACTCCCAGACAGAGCAGGGTCTAATTGTTCAACTTCATAAAAGTCATGTAGCTTTTCAAACAATAGATAAAGGTGTGTCTTACATGTAGGAAAAAATGCCATTATTTAACAATTAAAGTGAATTGCACAATATTTCTTTCTGTAAACAATATCATTGCATTTCTAGAAGTTTTCACCTCTCACAAACTTTCACTCCAAAGTGTTGCTTGTACATTAAAAATGCTGCTAAGTGACATCTACCAGAAAGAAGTTTGTTTTTCTCCTCTTGCCCTAAAGGAGCTCCTGTGCTCCAATCACCTGCAGTGTAACCCTCCAGTTGCTAGGTCTCCCTGAAGTCGCACTTGAGTGTTCTCCCTTCTGCATGGGAGACAATAGGCCACTGCTGATATGCTCACTGCTACCACATTTCCTGGCTGGCTGCACTTCTGAAACTCTCGCCACCCCACCTCAGAGCTACTGGAAGCAGCACCCCTTGTTATATAATCCTTCCTTTCCTTAATCAGCCATATTTTTTATGTTTTAGCTTTAGTTCAAAAAGAAGAAATTAATTTTCCATGTTAATTGCATGTCAAGAAAGTTTAAAACAACAAAATCTGGATAGTTTATGGAGGTTATTTAAAGTAGCGTGAGGTTTTTTTTTTTTTTTCTTTTCTTTCTTTCTTTTTTTTCTTTTTCCTTAGGACTGTAGTCTAAGCATTAGCAATGTGGTACCTGGATCTATATTGCAATAGGAAGGATGGTGTCTTTGCCTTTTGATCTGCACTCATAGTCCCAAGATTGTGAGCAGAGCTGCCAACTTCTGAAAAGCCTAGGAGGTAGCACAGTTGACTCCCCCCACACACAACAAAAAAAAAGTTAATTACCAATCTTGGTTGGATTCTTCCTCGCCTTCCTGACATTTGACTGCTGCTAATTCACTGATTAATCTCATTAATGTGATTATAGTGGGATTTGGAACTGGCGGCCATTGTTCTGAGCCTCTGCTATTCAGTCTCAGCACCGCCACCTCATTCAGTTTTGCTGTGATTTCTCAGAGGCAGGCAGAGCCAGCCATTGTGAGCAGCCCTCTGCCTCCCTTTCAGCACCGGGAGCTGTCCGCACTGATAGCAGTCCTTCAGCCGCGAGGGCTCCCCACAGGCTTCCTGGCAATGTGGAAATGGCTCACTTTCATCACCTTAATGATCCTGCCCGTTGAGGTAGAAGTAGGAGCAGGCTTTATGGTCACAATTAGATGTTTTGAAGGTGGTGGCAGCAAAGATCCCTGTACTTGAAGATTGTTATTTTGTAAAAAATAAAAAAAAAAAACTCCCAGCTGCCATTACATACACATTTTACTTTGGTTTTGAAATTATCAAGCATATGAACCTGAAAAATTACCTGTGTATGCATAATTGTGGGTTAGAAAACTGTAAACTCTACATCTTCGAAACAAAAATATTTATTCAAACATTTTCAGATATTAATAAAATTCCACTTTTGACAGATGAGCAGGGTCCTCTGGTGTGACAGTAGGGCAGGAAGCATGCATGACACTTCACTCCAACTTCTCTGGAGTGAAGCTCCCATCCAGCTGCACAGTGATGCCAATTTCTTAAATATGTGTTAGAAGCTGGGACCATGGTTGAGGGAGCAGTAATTTGTGACCACAGAGGAGTGACATGCAGAAATTCTTAGGATCCGTGAAATGTCGTTTCTGGAATGTGTGGGCACTTTCAGAGAACAGTGTCCTGTAATGGGGAGCTTTCATTGTGCTTGTTCGGCCTTTCTCCTAATTATTTGTTTTTCACACTTGAATTTCTTTACTCTTTTAAAAAATTTTATTCTTTTGTTTATTCATATAAACTATTCATTTCACTGTCTGATCATTTCCCTCTGTTTTCTGTAAACTTTCGTGGATCAGGGTAAAAAGACAACTTATTTTGCCTTCAAAGCTTTTCTAAATTTTTCTAATAAATTCTACTTAAAATTTAAAATATTGAATTAACAGTCTAATTATTTGTTCATCTGCCTTTACACAGGCAATTTTAAAAGCCAATTTCTTCTACAAAAATTCATTTTGTTCAGTGAGTGATATTTTTAAATCACATGTATAGACTAGACATTCTGACTCTTCCCATAGCCTATCTAATTTGAGAAACATTGTTTTAAAAATACTTATCACAGCCTCTGAGATACTTTGTCACTTGTTATGCATTTTACTGGTGACACCTTGACTTCCAGCAGCCTGAAGCTCTGCCTGTGTTTAGGTATTTGACATCCTCCGGGGGTAGGGGGGGTGGGAGGCAAGCCCAGTGCTCCTGCAGTTGGAGAGGGCTCGGCTGGGAACCCTCTTGGTCCAGAGCCCCGACTCCTCCTCAGTAACCAGCTTTTCAAATGCATCCGGCTGTGCCAGGGCGTCTAGTTTGGTGGAAAGTCTCCCCAGAACTCTGCCCAGAACCCCAGTGAGTGGCAGAAGCAAAGAGTGTCCTGTGTGGAGCTCTTCTAGACACACCATTGCCCGGCCTGCTGTGGGCACCATCAGGCCCTGAAGTTCAAGTCTAAAGATCCCTTTCCATGACTCTTTCTTTTTCTTTTAAAAATTGGGTAGCATTTTTTAAAAAGGAGTAACAGAGAATAAACTTGAACAAAAATTGAAAATGACTATTATGTGTTTTGCCAAACTAAGTTTCTCCCTACCCAACTGCATAGTGCTACAATACTACGCCTGCCTTTGATAAACATTTATTCCAAACTAAAGACAAAAGATGCCACCAAGTTGAAGAATGGAATACCCTGTGTGTTTTCGGGTTTTGTGGGGGAGCCCTATCCACATACCATGTGTGGCTGGTATTAAAGCAAGACATTTTAAACTGGCATATCCCACGTATTAAGAATTCTACCTATTAATGACCATAAGTTGTGTGAGAAGTAGTTCAAAGTACTTCACTTCAGTGATTTGTTGTCTGATTTTTCTGACATCCGACATTTGTGAGGCATCAGCCCAACATGCTCCCATCAGGATGGGTTGCAGCTTGCAGAGGCTCAGTTTGCAGGAGCTTTGTGTCCTCTCTGTCTCCACCTCCCTCTCCCTGTCCTCTGTCCTCTCTCATTCACTCTGTCCCTGTTTGTCTCTTTGCCTCTCTCCCCCTTCACACCTGCATTGTTCAAGCGTACACACCGGATTTTTCTATGCATGTTTCCACAATGAGACTGTTTTTAGCATTGACATCGTAATGAGTCCCCAGAGTACTTGCAGAAGTAGTCAGAGATGGCAGAGAAAATGTAAGCCAGGTGTTATAAAACTAGAAAGAATGCATAAAAGCTTATTTATTATGTGAAAAATTACTGATCAACACTGCCATATTGGGCTGTTCCATCAGGAAATTCTTCCTACAATATATCTCCCTCAAAGAGAGAGAGAGAGAGAGAGAGAGAAGAAAAAAGAAATCCCTGCTCCCCATGTGGGGATTATTAGAAAAGTTGGGAGGGGGAGGGGACGTTCTGGTGGAGAGAAGGGGCATTGTGCCGGGAAGATGGAACGGTGCAGGATATTCCCTGAAAGCCTCCCCTGCTTCCAGACTGCGGTGGTTTCTGGCAGGGCTCGCTGGGAAGGGAACAGTCCCCTGTAGCAACCGGTGAGCCTGGTTGCACTGTCAGGCGGACTCCGTCTTCAGAGGAATTACCGTGAGAAGGAGGAGGGTGCTCTTGGAAACTCAGGACTTCCATGTCCGCCTCCCCACGGGAGCCTCTGTCGCCACCGTGCTCCGTGGAAGCCTGCAGCGGTCAGTCCCCGTGTGGCGCTAGTGTGGACGGGAGCTGACGGAGGGGAGTCCTGGCGGGTGGGGTGAATGGAATGGAGATAGAGGCAACTGCGCCCAGCACGTGCGGTGGGCTGTCCATGGCAGGCACAGCGCTGCGCGTGTGAGCAGACTGAGGAGCAGGGGCACGGGCCGAGCAGCCTGCCTGTGGGC